CTCTCTCTCTCTCTCTCTCTCTCTCTCTCTCTCTCTCTCTCTCTCTCCTCCAGTTCTCTCTCATTTTTGGGGAAATAGTGCGCATCTGACTGTTCTGTGGGGATGGAGCGCGTATGTGACTGTGCTTCCTCCGCTGGGATGTTTTTTCTCGGGGTGCTGTCGGTTCTGTGGCCGGCGCTAAATGGAGTTTTGAGTTTTAACCTTTACGCAGAACATCCTACGGTTTACAGAGGACCCGATGGAAGTTATTTCGGCTATTCTGTGGACTTCTACCAAGCTTCCTCCGACAGCAACACGTGAGTGGCAACATCAGGACTGAAGTTGTCCCACCAGGGTCCTGCAGAGTTATACTGTACCTGTACATCTAGTTTAACCTGCCAAGATATGCTTTACAGTAGACTCAGTAGAATAGAATTGAATCCAAATGATGTGGGGAGAAAAAATATAACACTGTAACGGGATTCAGATTTCTGCTGCACAGAGCAAACCAGAGTTATGAACAGAAAATAATATTTGAATGAGAAAGTGCAGTGACTGCACAAGTTTGCATAATGCATTGTACACTTTCCTACTTGTACCTTGTTTTTTCTTTTCAGGATCAGTGTATTGGTTGGGGCTCCCAAGGCGAACACCACTCAGCCCGGCATTGTGGAGGCTGGGGCTGTCTACTACTGCTCCTGGCCTGGACTGCCCGACAGCTGCAGACAGATACCTTTTGATAGTTCCAGTGAGTTACCTGAAAGCTTTTTCAAGTTTTTTCATGTCACGGATCAAAATATATTCATGAAAGACCTCCTGAGGCTCCCACCGGGTTTAAACATGTTCCATAGACTCCTGTTTTACATTATTTTTCATTGTTTTGTGTCCTTTTTAAGTCATAGGTGGCCCCAGATGTTACTCCATCCATTTGGAACCAGTTTTGTAGCCCGTGTGTACGTGTGTGGATATGAGTTGGCACATGTGCTGTTGGATATAAAAAGAGAGATAAGACATGTGGGTCTCATCAGCTTCATTTAACTAAAAAGGTGGCTGGCGGGTTTGCTGGTACAAGCCTGCATCAGGTTGATTATGGTTTTCAATATATTATCATCAAGGTTAACTGTCCAATCAGCCTGTGTTTGTGCGTCCAATGTCTCTGATGCACGCTTTTCCATCTGAGTAGTAAGTGTTTGTGCACGAGGTAGAGCGGGAGAACAAGTGAGAGAACGAGAGACAGGGGGGGGGGTGGTAAACTGTATGCACATGGGAATTTAGTTCCCCTTCAGAGGAAAGGGGGATTGGGTGAGGTCTGCTTTTTATTAGATTTCGAAAATGTATCCCTGTCTTCTCTCTCCACCCCTTGTCTCTTTCTCTCGCTCTCCATCAGTCAATCCCTCTCTCTCTTTTTGTTTTTCGAGGGGGGGGGGGGTTGTGAGGACCACAAAAAGAGAGATGCAGAAGAAGCTGATCGTTTGTCCCACATTTAACTTTGGTGGAAAGTGGTTCGAGCTGCAACGAGTATTCTAATTTATCAGACAGGATTCTGAGAAAGTTTCAAACATACATGAACATTAGATTAGTGTTAACAGTATCAAAAGCTCAAGTTTTAGTTAGGAAGTTTTACGTGAGGATGGAGCTGTGGCAGCAAGTGATACTCACGTAAGGATTTCAACAGATGACTGTCATGTTATACACGCTGCTGTGTGCACATGCATGAATATGATTGGATGTTTTGCTCGTCAGCTGATGTATAAATGAGTTGCTGAAGTATGAATGAAACTGCTGATAGCCGATCAGCTGACCGTGCAGGACATCATTGTTCTGCCTGAACTAAAGAAAGGCTCCATGCAGATGAGGGTAAACTTCCAAATGTGAGGATCATTTTCTAGTTTTTCCCTAAAGTTAATTATGTGTTATTTTTCCCAAAGGGCTGAGTTTTAGTGTGAAGTGTTTTGGGGAAAATTTCAGGTCTGTTGGATATAAGAGTAAACACAGAGGAGCAGATGTGTGCGTAGTCGTGTGTATGTGTGTATCTATATACACTAGAATGGGTGTGTGATTGATGACAGTGGCTACGGTAGATATTTCGAGAGTTACAGCACACCCTTTATTACAGGTATAAACCAGACTCATGCACACTGTTAAAAAATAGCAGCACGAGTGGTGACCATCTGTGTGCACTGTACTGGGTAATATCCATACATCAGCCTCACATGTGACTGAGCATGTGTGTGTACCTGTGTGAGCTTGTACGGCTTCAGTGACGTTATGCAGATGTATGAAGTAGGGCCAGTGCCGCGGGGTATTTTGATAGTGATTGGATGTCCGTGATTAAAAAGAAAGACACCTGGTCTCTTGGTTCTTCTTGCTGATCAATTGCTTTTTTAATCTTACATGCATCTTTCATAGAATTATTTAGAGAAATATACAGAATTATTTTTTTACATTTCTCTTTTCATTCTTCAGAGAAACTTAATGAAGCAATATCGCTATTTTCTTAGATACGTCCTTCACATTCAAACATAAATCTGAGAGCTTCACACTCCAGCCAGTCCTCTGCTGTGGCCTCAGAGCTGTGGCCTTTTTTTTTTTTTTACTTGTCCTGGAATTAAAAATAACTTTTAAGACCCTGGTTTGTTAACCTTTCGGTCTATAATATGATGAATGATGCATTTTCTTACTTATAAAATATATATATAGTAG